TATAGCTTTAAAATTCTCACATTTAGTTAAATGACGTTTACAGAGAAGCTTTGTGTTAGCAAATTTGTTTTCATAAGCATATTCATAATTCACTTTAATTTTACATGCTTTGCAAATAGCAAATTTATTACACGAATTTGCTTTCTCATTTAATTGTTCAATAAAAACAGTCAAGCGATGATGTTGTGGCATGTTATAAGAAATGCTGATTGATCGATCGTTAAAAAAAAGATTGATAAAATTTAATAATGTGACTATCATTTCACGTGACTTTCTACTCTAAAAATGATTGGCCAATTTTGATAACATAATCATTGGACATAAGCTTTATGTTCAGTATTATAACGTCCAATGGAATGGAATTGATCCAGTAGATCAATTCCAGTGGAACGTTCCAGTCTATGTGCCAACACTGCCCCCACCCCCTAAAATATTAGGTAATATATATCAATGCCCTTATAGAACTACTTTAAATTATTTCAAATTTGTATTTATCTTCTTTTAATTTGATAACGATCAAATAAACTTTAAGTAATTTGATAATATTTTATAAAATCTAAAAAAAATCATATATATATATGTGCATATAAATTTTTTTTTATGCAGTATTACAAAATTTGTGTATTTTATAAAAAAGATTAAAATAAATTTTTTGCATATTTTTGTATACTATATAATCAGTACTTAAAATAGTATTTTAAATTCTGGTGAAATCCAGAATTTTTAAAGAATTTTGGATAAAAAATTTCATATTCTAGATTTTTTCTAGAAAAATTTTAAGATCATCAGATATTTTTTATTATAAAATATAAGTTAAAAAAATTCTATTCATTATTGGTTTGTAAGGAAAGTTTTTATTTTATTATAAGTTTAGAATAATGAAAAAAAATTTATATAGCCAGTAAATTTTATAAGATTCTGTACTTTTAGTAGATTTCTATTTTAAATACTGTATATAATTTATCAAATATCAGCGTTAAGTAAATCTCATCCTCAAAAATCATTGATTTTGATTATCAATCATTTCAACTGATTTTATTAATTAATTATTATATTTATCAATATTAAATTTTTCAATTAGGTAAGCTTTTTTTTTTTGATCCTATTTCTTTTCTTTTTTAATTTTTTTTTTTTAATTTAATTTCTTTTTTTTTGATTCCTTTTTCCATTATCTTTTTTTCTAAAATTTTTTTTTGATTTTTATTTCTTCAATTTCTTTTTTTTTTTAAAAAAATTTTTTTTTTGATTCCCCTTTCTTTTTTTTTTAATTCTTTTGATTTTTTTTTTTTTAACTTTTTTTTTAATTCTTTTTGATTTATTTTTTTGATTTTCTTTTCTTTTTTTTTTAATTTCTTTTTTTTCAATATTTTTTTTTTAATTTAATTTAATTTCTTTGTTTTTTTTTAATTTTTTTTAATTTCTTTTCTTTTTTAATTTTTTTCTTTTTTTTTCATATTCATCTTCAATCAATTTTAAAATTTGTTATATTTTTTTAATTATTATTATTTTTTTATTAATTTAGAAATAGGCCTTTAAGGTAAGTATTTTTTAGAAGGATTTTTTAGGGATTCTTTAGAATTTTATTTAATTGACTTTCTTTTTTTAGGAATGGATCTTTCATTCTTACAGATAAAAATGAGTTTTTTCTTTTCAGGATTCTATTAGAGATTCTTTTTGAGTGTATTTTTTTTAATAATATTTTTCTATTTTTTTAGAAGCAAATCTTTTGTTCTTTGGATAAAGGTAAATCTTTTCTTTTTAGGTTCTTTTAGGATTCTTTTTAGTGTTATTTTTTACTATTTTTCTTCTTTTTTTAGAAGCAAATCTTTCATTCTCGTGAATAGAAGTGTGTCTTTTTTTTTAGAGTTCTATTGGAAGATTCTTCAATAAATTTTTTCTAATTGGTAAGTTTTATCTATGAGTTTTATTACTTTTAATTTTTTTTCTTCAGATTTATAGATAATTTGCAAAAAGAATTTTTTTCAATTTTTTTTAGGAATAGAATTTTTTCTCTTTAGATTTCAAAGTAATTCTTATAGAAAAAATTCTTTTGAGTTCTTTTCTATTTCTAATTAACTTTTTTTTTTTAGAAATGTAATTTTTTCTTTTTGTCTTAAGGTAATTCTTATAAAAGGTGATTTTTAAAGTAAGTTTTACAATTTCTAATTAAATTTTCTTTTCAGGTCCTATAATAAGCCTTCTTTTTACAATTATAATATTTATTTTCATCTTTGATAAGGTAAAACTTGCAAGGTTCTTCATGATAATTTAAATTTCGTTTAAGAAGTTTTATAAGTGCATTTTATCTATTAGAAAAGAATTTTTAAAAATTGTAATTAAAAATTAATAAAATTTAAATTTAAATAAATAATATTTTTTAATTATTATTTTTTGAATCAATCAAATTGTAATAAAAATTCAAAATATAAATTATTCATTAAAAATAATTTTATAAAAGAAATATTTAACTAACAATTAACAATATAACAGAACTGTCAAATTTTATTTATATAATATTTATATGAATTATACATTATCAAATAGCATGATCTTTAAAAGCCCAATGATTATAAGCTTCAAGATAATTAAATTTTTCGAAATTTTTAGGACTATTTAAAAAAATATGTAAATGCATATTAAGAGTATCAATACGCATTCTATTTCTAAGATTAGTTTTAATCAAATTTTATTTAGAAAATACTTATTTCACCACAGTATTAGAAAAAGGAATTATTAATGATAAATTAACAAGAATAATAAGATTGGAAAATTGGTTTCGAAAATTTGTAGTATTAAAATTTTATACTAACATTTGCAAACTTATATTCTTTTACATATTTATATAATACAATCAAATATTTAGCTAAATCCCATTCTTTTTTAACTTCTTCTTTATTAATTAATACATATTCTTTATTATTTACTTTTCTTTTTTGTTCATAAAATTGTATTAAATCTAAAATATCATCATCACTAAAATTATTTAAAGCATTTTTGTTCTGCAGCATTTTATAAAAATCAAAAATATGTAAAGAATAATATAAATAATCATCAGGAAATCTTTTTCGCAAATTTGCAATTACTCTTTCAGTATAATGTTTAATAAAACCTAATTAATAAAATATTATTATATTATTAATAAATAATTAATATATTTTAAAATAAAAAAATTTACCTGGTAAATCTTCAAGTTACAATTCTATTTCTTTTATAAACTTTTGAAGATGAATACCAAATTTTGGTAGCCTTTCTACTGATTCAATAAAATATAATTTTTAAAAATTATATTTATAAAAAGTTTTATTATATTATAAAAATATAAAAATATTTTATAATTTTAATAAATATAATTGTAAAAAGAATTGATATGATGAAATTATATACAGTATAATTATAAATAAATTTAATTATATTTTAAAAATATTATTTATTTTTATTTTAAAAAATAAATAATAATTTTAGATTAGGATTAAATTAAAAATATTTATAATTAATCAATTAATAAAATTATTTTTATAAAGAATTGATAAATAAGTTAATAATATAAATTAGTCTACTATCTTATTAAAATTTTTTTAAATAATTATATTATAGATAATAAATACTTTTAAATGTATTATTAAAAAATTAAAATTATAATTAATAAAAAAATTTTTAAAAAAGCTTTTTCTATAATAATGATTTTTTTTCTAATAAATATTTTGTAAAAAAAAAAAAAAAAGAAAAAGATAATTTTGAATTAATGTTAATCTTAATATATTTTACTAATAAAAACATATTTAATGTATAAAATAAATTTATTTGTTGTAGTATCTTTTTAATTGTAAAACAACTATATAATTAATTTTTTATAATAATTAATTTAATCATTTGTAAATATATTAAAGAAAAAAAAGGTAAATTTATTATTAATAATTAATAAATATAATATTATCTACTGTATTATATAAAAAAAAAAAAATTATAAGATAATAAATCGAAATTCAATATTAAATTATAAAAAGAATAGAAAGAAGTATATTTACAATTATTCTTTTTTTAAAATCAACATATTTATTATCAACATTGTAGAAAATTAAACACTAAAATATTTATTGCAGTTGCTTTTTTTTTATTCTCTAGGTTACACGACATTTTATCGTTAACAAATCTCGTAGTACTATATTATTTTTTCATATTTTAATTTATATAAAGAACACTTACAAAGCATATACTGTATATATAGTTAAATTAATCATACAAAATAAATAACGGTTTATGAAACGTATTGAACGGCTTCTTAGGTTTGCATTATTTCAAAGATGTTGGAATTTCTTCGCATACCATCTACAAGTAACAAAATATGTTTGATATTCATTAAATTCCTCTATCGATTGTGTAATCATTTCGTCATAATCGTCTGATGTGATCCCTATACCGAGAATATTTATATGATTCATTAACGCGGGTTTTATAGAATACATCCTTGTCACAACGTCATCTTTTGCCACTTCTCCTATTCTTCCCGCCCAGCTCCCTAAATCATGAAGGATTTAAACAAAGTGAGAAATAAATAACCAATAAATTTATTAAACGAAAAGGAATCCAGTAAATTTTTTCTCTCCCTACCTATTCCTATTGTTCTCTCTTCGAACTTAACCTCACCGAATTGATTTGTGTTTTCCATAAATTTACCAATAAGCGAAGCAATTTTCGGATTTCGTCCTATATTTGTCATCATCTCGCATCCTTATGAGAAATTCTAGTCAATAACGGAATCTCTCGATCTGGACACATATAATCTAATATAAAATCCACTCACTTAAATCTAATAACCTTTGCAAAATAGGTCCACAATTCTGACATAATTCATATTCGCAAACCTCCAAATAACCTTATCATATTTTTCAAATTATATTTCGTTAGCAAAAATTAAAAAAAAAAATTTTAAACAAATAATAACGTTCTTGTTCTTTCATACCTTCAACTTTCAAAACCCTACTAACTTCTCTTATTACGAGATTCTCGAATTGGGTCTCGTCAAAACTAGGAAACATGAATCTCATATGACAAAAGTCAAATTCTTGATCCTTGTATGGAATACCATCAAGTATCTGACACTCTTGAAATATTGTGTTGCTCGGTTTTATTTCTTTTGGAAAAATAGGTGAGATATCTAATCCAACGAAATGAGTATTTTTATACTTTGTTGCCATATCTAAACACCACGCGCCCGGACCACACCCTATGTCTAACACAGTACATCCGGCTCCCAATCGCTCTCCTATTGGAGATGAAAAATTTGATTCCCATACGGCTCGTATCAAAAAATGTTCTAAATGTAAGCGATCAACTAACGAAAAAAAAAAAATCATGTGTGCGGGCAGTTAGATAAAATAATTAGTAAATTATAAAATTTCATATAAACATACTCTCGTCATCGTCATTCGGAAGATCATAATGTATGTCAGGCCAATTATGGAAGCGTCTTCCTTCGATATATTTATATTTTTCTTTATCCGATGATACAGAAGTCTTTCTTTCGAGTGGTTTCTTATTTGATGAATGATTAGAACTAATAGAATCTCTTAATCTGTGTGTATTTTTTGTATTTTTTGAATTATTCGATCCCATTTTTTGGTAGTATATAGGTTTTTTTTATTTAAAATGATATAAATTAAAGAGTGTAAAAAATTCCGAATGATGAAAGAACGATGAGCGTTGGAAAATGGAAAAGTAAACGAAATTACAAGTCCTGAATTCTTATAAGTTTATCATCAAACAAACAAATCAGTGTGAAATAATGATTTTGTTATCGTGGTGTAATTTAACTATATTAATACTTCGCCTTATCATTATTGATTAAGTTTTGATTTATTATTGTATTTGCATATCATAGATAAAGAATGTCATTAATTAGTTCACTTTTCTTATCAAATGTTTTTGTTTGACCAAATTCCATATAAGTTCAAGTACCTGTGGATAATCGGCGATCTATAAATAATGTACCTTATCTTCGTCAATTATCATTCGCTATTAAACTATAAACGAAATAAATTTTATTTACATCAAAAATCATTTATTTATTTATTTAATCATACAGTAAATTTCCACCACAATCTTTTATAAATAAAAAAAAAAAGAAAAAGAAACAAAAATTGAATTGACTCTTTAAGAAAAAAAAAAGTGACCCACTTTCAGTTCTACAAAATTTATTTAAAACTTTAAAAATCAACAATGTAATCTTGTTACTTTCCGACATATTCCGTAGAGTTATACGAAGATCGGTATCTTCATTATCTCGCATGTTCCTTTATAAGAATTTTCCATTTTTCCGATTTATAAATCAATGTCAGTGTTAGTGTTACAAATAGTTTTAATGTTTTCAAAGACTTCAATAATTGATAAGATACGAAATGAATATTTGTTTAGAAATGACCCTTACATAAAATATATTTGGCAAAGTTAATAAACCAAATGCCAGGTAATTAAATTAATAGAATAAGTAATTCTAATGTACTCTAAAATTTTTGATAAAACAATAAAACTAATTTTCTGAATATATACAGTACTGTATATATTTAGTACTCGCGAGGAAGGAACCATAAATGCTTTTAAATTTTATTACCATTTTCGAAAGTCAAAAAAATTTGCTTGAATCTAAAAAAGGTATTTCTGAATGATCCGCACGTAGATAAGCCAAATATCCCGACGTCAAACAGGGTTGCTTAGTTTGATCTAATATAAACTGTACTTATTTATTATTTATGCTAAATTAAGGAGTTCTTTTTAATATTTGCCAGCAATTTAGTCATACATTATTATCTAAGATGACACAATTAATTGGATAAGACTAATTTAGCCGATCATATTAGATGTCAAAAAATATTGCCAATCATAAATTATGTAACAATAAATAAACAAATGTTATGATTGAGTAAACATCTCTGATATACTTCTACTTGGAATTCGTAATGCAAAACAATGTATAAAAAGTGAATCCAATAATTAACTAGGGATGATAATTGGTTCGAATGAACTTTGGTCTCGATAAAACAATTAGAGACAATTAATCACATGATTATTGTCAGTTGATTTCGTAATTGTTTAGAGAATTTTATTTAGGGCAAATTTATCCTAGACTCCGGGTTTAGGTTATTATCCTAGACCTCATGTATAAATTAATTTTTTTTGTTTTTATCATGTGATATGTAGTTGCGGACTAGGATAAGAGCGGTACATTTTAAGGATGCCCTTATATTTAAGGTTTTTTTTTAAAAAAAAATTTAATAAAGTTTATCAATAATTACAAATATCATTATAACATGGATCGTATAGAAACCGAAAATGATATCATTTCAGTTACAGAGTCATCATCTTTATCTGAAGGACCAGCAAATAAAAAACACAAAAAATCGGATCCTGAGAATACCGTAGTTGCGAGCTTTTTGTTTCTTGCTCATTTTGTCAATTACGCTGAAAAAATCAACTGGTATTAGTACATTTAAAAAGCATTTTGCAAAATATCAATAATCAGTTATCACAAACAACCTTATAAATTAAATGAGCCAAAGGTTACACGAATTACCTCTTTACTTATTAGATGGATTATTTGCAATCAACAACCGTTTATGGTAACTTGATGGACGATACAAGATACCAACTCGTCAAAACAATATCAAATAAAATTGAAGAAATTGATAAAATCAACATTTATTTGTAAGTAATATTTTAAGTAAATGACACGAAAAATGGCTATTACAACAGATACATGGTTCGCTTGAATAATCTTGGTTATTTATCTATTACATTTCATTGGATTGATGATGATTGGAATATGTGTAAATTGCATCTTGTTATTATTACTACTCATAAAGCCATTCAGGATTGAATATTGCAAATATAATATTAGAAGTAATTAACTTTTATGGAATTTGCGAAAATATTATTGCAGCAACAACTGATATGTATCAAATATGATTACATTTGCTGATCATTTTCAAAGTCTTCTTAAAGATTCTTTGATAATAATTTTAACATCATTGTTATGCTTCTTACATTTTAAATTTAGTTATTATGGAAGGATTAAAGTTGTTGATATAGCAATTATAAAAGCAAGAGTATTTTCATTAATAATTCAAAATTCATAACCAATATTTGAGAAGTTAAAAAGATATTTATTATGAAAACAAACCATTTCTTATACCTATCTTATTGTTTTAACTATATGAAACAGTGCATTTTTATGATTAAAAAATTATGAAAATTTATATTTTTGTTACATCTAATAATTTTTAAAATTATGAAAATTTATATTTTTGTTACATCTAATAATTTTTAAAAAATAATTATTTAACTGAATTTGATTAAATTGAAATTGTTGTTTTTTATTTATTAATCTTAATTCTATATATTTATTTATAAAAAAAAAAATATTTCTATATTTCTTAAATATCAAACTACTATTATACTTTTATCATCAATTTAAGTGATCTTTACTTAGCATTCACAATAATTATTAAATTTCTTGAAAATATGATGAATAATATAATAGAAGAAATCTTTTGAAAAATTATTACAACTACAATAGTAGTTAAACTTGATGAATTCTAATAATATCTTAAATAAACAACATTTATATTTGTTACATTAGATCTAAATATTAAATTAACACTAGTAAAAAATATAAAGTATAATTTAACAAAAAATTTAAATTCTTTATTTAAAATATTCTTACTTTTAATAATAAATTATCACAAAATATAAATATATTATTATTATTAAAAAAATATTTTAAAGATATACTTTAAATTTAATAAATAATAATTTACAATACTATTTCTCATCTTTTAAAATTGATTATGATATATTATTATGATAAAAATCTTATGCAAATAATCTAAATTATCAAATATTACAAAAATAACTTAAGATTATCTTTATATATAAGTAATTAACATTCTTAGAAAGCAAGTATTTTTAGTTATAAAAAATCTCTTATATAATAAGCAATTTATATCTTAAAATTAATATAAAAATATTAGTTTAAATTAAATAGAATTTAATTTGCTTTATTATAAAATATTTTTAATATAATTTTTATATAAAAAAATAATTTAATAAAATTTCTTTTTTTTGAAATTGTTATATTCTTTAAACTATAAGTTATAAAATTGGTTTTAAAATATTTTAAGAATATTTTGATATTTAATGATAATAAAAAAATGAAATAAAATTTTTAGATTTATAATATTAGGATGTATCTAATAGTAGTATTTTTAAACTTTTAAAATTAATAATTATTAATATATTAATTTTTCAATTTTTTAATTATTTAAAACATAGTGAAGAACTTTTAATTACATTCAAGACTATGCAATTTCTATCTATTACCAAGTGAAAATATTCAATTAAATTTTAGAATCAGGTGTAACAATATTGCATAATCAAATAATAATAATAATAATAATTAATATTACTTAATCAGTGTATATAAAAAATTAGTATTACATTAAATTATTTGAGTTTTTTTTATAATATTAAATAATGTAAATAGTTCAGATATATAATGGTTCTATTTCCTAATTTTTAAAATAATTTTATTATCTAATAACTATAAAAATATAAAATTTAGTTTATTAGATTCATCACATTAAACTTGTAGTATTTTTATATTTCTGAAATTGATAGGTAACAAAATATGAGTTTTAATTTATTATTTATTTATCTTTAAAAATTACTAGTTAATTACATTTTTTTTTAATTTTTATTTAAAAATAACATAAAATTTATTAAAAAAGTATTAATTTTTTTTAATAATATATTTTAAAAATAATTAAAAAGAATTATAATTAATAAAATTGTTTACAAATTTGTAGGCAAAATAATTGAAGAGATAATACAAATAATTAATATAGTATAAAAATAAATTTAAAATAGATTTGTAAGTTTAATTTTTTCAAATTAAATCAAAATTGGTTAGATTATTTTTAACATTTTTATATAATTTTTTTATATTATAATTAGCTGGATAATTGATTATACTTATTTATTATATAATAAATAAATATAACTTATTAAAATTTTAAGTTTCTTAAATATTAATAAAAATTAAAATATTACTAGTAGTATATTAGTAATAAACTACTTAATATTTAACTATAATTTAATCCTTACTCTAATTTAATGAAATTTAATTATATTAACTAATTTTAATGTAAAAGATAAATTAGTAATTCTGAAAAAGTATATTTTAAGATTTTGTAAAAATTTTACTAAAAAATTTTTTTAATATAAATATTTATAAAATAAATTAATAATTTATTATTATAATAATAGTTTTAAATAAACTAAGATTAATAAATTTTTAATAATAATAAAATGTTAAATCAATTAAAAATAATTACAATTAATACTTAAAAAAAATTATCTATATTAATAATATTATCATATAATCAATCTAAATATATTTTAAGAATTATTATATTATTATATAATATATGACACTTAAAACTTTAATAAATTTAATAATTTTTAAAAAGTTATAAAAAGTTTAAAAGTAATATCAAAAAAAAAGAAAGTTATAACTTTAATATTAAATCAGTTTACTATAAATTGCTAAACTTTTTTTTTGAAAATAATTACTTATTCTTAACTTATATCAATTTAAAATACCTCTTTTTTTATATAATCAGCATTTAGTAAAATAAATATATAATTTAAATTAATTAATAAAATCACACTTAAATTATATATGCAATTATATTAGTTAAAAAATAAATATAATCATATATTTAAGATGAAAAATATAAATATCACAAAAAAAATATTTTATCTGACTTTAAAAATATAATAAAAGAAAACAATTTTTTAATTTAAAAAAAAATAACAAAGATTAATAAAAAGAATACAAAATCTATTAAAAAAGAAGATAAAGAAATTAAAAAAAAGAAAATATGAATGTATTTACTTGTAACAAAACTTATGAAAATATCATAAAAAAAATAAAAGGAATACCAAAATAACCTATTATTATAAATTTAATACTTATAAATACTTCAAAAAACATTTAAGATTATTAGTTTTATATTTATTATTAGTTCTTTTATATTATCCAAATTTTCAAATATTCAAATAGATGTGTCAATAAAATATTTCAATTTTATTTTTATCTTTATTTTCACTTTTATCTCTTTTTCTATTATTTCTATATTACCTTTTCTATTTTCATTTCTATCTGAGTCTTTGTCAAAAATAGATAAAAATTTAATGTTTTTTGAAAAATTGTAAACTTTGAAATAACCTTTTTAAAAATAGAAAAATACTTACAGTCTTCAAATATAACAGATAATATATTATCTATAAATATCATATATAACTAAATAATAGTTGTAAAAAAATGAAAGTTAGTAAAGAAATAATGTAAATTATTTATATTATTTCAAATTATATACTATTAAATAAAATTATTCTTTGATCAAATTTACTTAAATCACTAATTATTTTTAATTTTATATTATAATAAATATTAAATATATAATCAACTTATAAATAATAAAGATGTTATATTAAGCTTATAATAATAATTATAATAAAAATCAGATTTAAATAGTATTAACATAGCTTATTTTAAATAATATATTAAAGATTTATTTATCTAATATGTAGAAACTTAGAAAATAATTAATATAAAAACTGCTAAAAATAGTTATATATTTAAAACTGATTTAAAAAATATTAAAAGGGTATTTATCTTAATAGATATGAATAAAATGATATTAAAAATAATAAATGAATTATAATAATAAATGATAAGATATAAAAGAGAAGAAATGAAAATGACTTTACTAATATTTAAATCAGAAGAATAAGAAATATAAAATGAATGCTATAAAAAAAATATTAAATTAACATTTCATATATTTTAAGATAAATAAAATTTTCATATCAGCTAATTATCGAAATTTGACCAAATTTTAAGTCCCCAAATCATAATAATTTTGATCAACATTACTTCATTCCAATTAGTACAGTAGCGGTCATAAGTATCTGACCGTCCGAGATTGTCCAAAATTATTATATAACTACCCCTTAAATTTTCCAGAAATATAATATAACACAATACATGATCACC